GTAAGTCTTCGGAAGGACTACAATTCTCGGTTCATCACAAGTCCAGCATAGCTCCACATATTATACCAGCAGAGGCTTTTCAGCCTTCTCGATATGTCAATGCTGCCATTGCCTCTCTCGTTAGAAGGGCTTACTTACTATCATCTTCGCAAGAGCTGGTAAACATGGAGTTAGACAACATAAGTTTGGGGGTACGCACTGCTGGCTTTTCACGTGCAAAATTTACGCACGTGCTCAATATGGTAAAGAAATCACTGTTTCCAAGTACCACATTATGCAGCAAAAGAGAATTTTCAATGGTACAAACATCGTTGCCATACCTGGGACCCCTCTCTATACGTATCTGCAGAATCTTTAAGCAGCACGGCCTTATACTACCACTAACCCCACTTCCAAACCTACGCAAACTCATTTGTAATGATAGGGACAAATTTTCCACGCTTGAGAAGTCGGGGGTCTATGCTGTACCTCTGGAAAACCTTACAACGGGAGTAAATGCAAGATATGTCGGGGCCACTACTAGAATGCTTGCCAGCCGACTAGAAGAGCACCAAAACGATGTTGCGAGGGGTAGACACACCACCGAGCTCGCAAGAAAAGTACTTGAGCAGGGTTACAACCCGCTATGGTCCCAAGCGGTTATGCTCAAGAGCTGTAAGGATCGAAAAATCGTATTTATATGGGAGTCTCTTCTTACTACCACCTTGGACACGTGCAACATTCCAACTCTCGAGCTGCCCAGTGTATGGGTCACACTATACAAGCAATTAAGTAAAAATTAGCATTCTCCAGAATGCGTACAGTGTGTGTCTAGATCTGCGCATGCGCGTATTCGCACATCATGGAGCTTTCTGCTCGTTCGTTTTTCGAACATTTTTGAATATTTCTATCGTGTTCCTAACGACTTTTACTAAAGTTTCATCTTAAATTTAAGCGTTCTATTCCAAATCGGATTATTTCCGTTTAATTCTTTCGATAATTCGCCTGATGACGACGGCTATATGTTCGTCGAAAGTACTAGCGAATAAAAAACGCACACATAACGCCGACCTCAGTGCCTTCCCTTTTTTACAATATAATATTTTGGCGTGATCGTCAGCAAATTGATCATATCTTAATCTTCACTATCGTTACTTTTTGCCCAGCAAAGCGGGTCCTTGCAGTTAGATTCTAGATTAGAAAAACAGTCTTTTATATATAAAAAGAAACTATATTACATACAAATAAAAACCCAGCGAAGCGGGTCCTTGCAACTAGTGTATATATATATAAACACCATGCTGGAGTAAAAGCAATGGCTGGCTGAGTGCCATGGAGGGATTTTTAGATATGTTATGCATTTTTTATCTATTAAAAAACAAAAAAACTGTTGAGAAATTACCTCTGTTGTTAAAATGAGCGTGTCAGAAATGTATTTCCCGCACTGGTTTAAATGGTTTGCTTCTACACATAACATAATTTCTCCTGAATAAATATTCTGTAACATTTTCCAAATAAACTTCATTTTGCTGACATTAAATTCCATCTGAGAACCGACAGGCCAATGTTGCCGAGAAGGCTGCTTTCTCCATCCCGAACCTTCTAATAATCCTAAAGTTAAAAAAATTCAAATATAACATTAATATGTAGAGGACAGTGAGTAAAAGCTTGCAGTGGGATATAATTAGTTGTATAAATGTCAGGTTGGCATTACTGAGTTAGTTTATAAGTTCTCTTGCTGAATTGTTGAAGACTTAATAATAACTGACTTGGCACGAATAGTTTTGAAATCATGAGATAAGATTCATTTTTTATCTTTCTGATATAATATTTTGATTGTTTACATACTGTATTTCATAATTAAGTATGAACTTGAGAAAATCATTCCTTAGATATTTTGATACTCATTTCTCGTGTGCATTATGATGGACAAAACATTTAGAAATGTTTTTGGTGTAGATGGCAGTATCTGTTTTTAAGAAAAAAACGATGTTGCCTGGCAAATGTTCAAGTGCCACTGTGGGGTAAAAACTTTTCATTAAATTTAAAAATTTAATTTAATGAAAAGTTATTTTTTTTATAAATTCTGTTCATCAATAAACTTTGTATAATTTTTCATAAAAACTTGTCTTGCAAACTTTTACTCTACCATTTAAGCACTTTTGCTCCACCAATGGGCAAAAGTACTCTTTTGTAAAAAGTTTATTAAATGACATATATTCAAAATATCAATAAAAATCCTATGGAATCTTAAAGAAGATAATTTGAGAATTATTATGCGCATGTTTCAAGATTCTCACTCTTCTAACAAAGAATTTATATTGTATAAAAACTAAGTGCGTACTCTTGCCTTCTCTCCTCTAAATACATAAGTAAAAAATAAGGTTTTACTGCTCTGTTTTGCTTTACCTTGTCCAGTTTGAGAAATTAATTCCGCTGCTCCTCCAATTGGTTTGGCAACTATACCCACTAAACCTTTACCTACTCCTTTTACAAAACCAGTTGCAGTTCTCACAGAAGAAGAAGGTGTTAAAGTTGGATGTTGTTGTAGAACTTCTTGTATCGGTTGTTCTACGATACCCGCAACTGATCCTAAAATATGATTCAATTTATTAGCTTTTTATTAATTCTTACCACTATTAGTCTTATAGTAATACTTAACTAAGTTTTAAGGTATCTGATTATTGTGTGCTATGGTGCCATATTTTATAACCCATACAGTAGTAAAATTACAATATCTGAATACTAGTAAGTACTAATGACTGAACTGTCAGCCATTACTTCATCTTTTATCTTCAACAAGTTCTGGAAGCTATTAAACTTCTCTTCAGATGAATATTTGGAAATGATGCCAGTAGGTAAAGATCATCAGGATTTTATACTGATCACACCATTTCCTTACTTTATATCATAACTGAATGTCAGCCATCGATAACTAGTGTAAGTTAACACATTCACTTGCTCCTAGACACCATTCTTGACATGAAATCTATAGTCTTTTCTAGAAAAAGAATGGAGCCATGTTCATTAGTCTGCATACACAAAGGAAAATAGTTTTATGTTCATTACAAAGTAGATAATACAAGGTCTTTCAAAAAGCATTTTACCATTAAACAGAATGTGCTCAGCAAATAATTAGCTTATCACAACACACTTTTCTTGTTGCCAAGATAGTTTTAATAATAAACAACGCTTTTTGCCCGCGACTGTAAATTAGACAGAATTAGATAACCCAACAATTAGGGTATAACGTTTTGCAGGGCTTATCACACCAAGGCCGACTGGAAGAAGGACCAGAACTTTATAAAAAAGGTTTGGTCTTTAATAATCACATATCAAATTTAGGTAAGTATGCATTTCGGGTACAAGGACCCCTCATCAGCTTACAAACACATGGCAACAACGTAACAAATACAATACCAATAACCTGTCGGTACAACGGGGTAATCTACATATGCGGTGCACTGCATTTACAAATTATCAAAGTAACTTATACACTAAAACTAAATTATCAAGTATAAATCAGCATCCAATGACAATGTGGTATCACATATTATCTCCACCCGTAAATGTCTTAGTTTCTCCTACATTTTCCAAATTCTGGTAGACGGTTACACTATTAATAATAAATATTGTTAAGTATATTAAAACCTCAACAAAGGGAGGGGAGAGGAATCCAACAATGAACTTACTCTTATTAAACCAATTGGTCTCCAAATTTTAACACAAAACAAAATACAACTAATCTATAAGCCTTTGTGAAGTCAACTGCACTGTCCATCTGCATTTTACAAGGTGATGTGCCTAAACTCCCCACATCTGTTCAGCATCTGTTTCAAGGTTAAGTGAAAACAATGTCAATCCACCCCTCATGTAGCTTCAGTCCCATGTTGTTATTAATTCTGATGTCTTCCTGTATCTTCAGAATTTCTAGGTGTTCCTGTAGTCTTCTTTTAAGTTGATTGTTTTCTGTCATAATACACTTGATGCTATCTTTTAAAATTTCACAACCTTCAGTGTTGCAATGTTGTGCCACTGATGATGATATTAAATTATTTTTGATGGCATATATATGTTCTTTACGCAAAACGTTATACCCTGCAAAACGTTATACCCTAATTGTTGGGTTATCTAATTCTGTCTAATCAAGATAGTTTTATTGAAAACTAACATTTTGGCATTCCATTAAATAGAATGCATATGTTTAAATTCAAAAATTTGACAATGGAAAAATAAGAAAATAACTGAAAAAAATAATATATACAAATATAAATATACAATAAAAAACAAAGTCAGATATAGTAACAGAAATAAAAAATAAAAATAAATCCACTAATAATACTTTAAATAAACATTGAAATAAATTGTTAAGGTATAATTGATGAAAGATGTAACTATAAACTAAGATAAGATTACTTCATCTTTTATCTTCAACAAGTTCTGGAAACCATTAAACTTCTCTTCAGATAACGATCGAATATACAAAGATTTTTCAGTTATTTTCTTATTTTTCCATTGTCAATTTTTTGAATTTAAATGTATGCATTCCATTTAATGGTACACCAATGTTCCAATTCTCTCATTAAGTCTGAGGATGTCCTATAGAGCAGGTCGAAAATGTTAGTTTTCAATAAAACTTTCTCAGCAACAAGAAAGGTGTGTTGTGATAAGAGCTAAGCATTCTACCATTATAATTAATGTAATTGTGTTAATTATTATACAAAAATATTGTAATGTACAGTACAGTACATTAAAACATTGGAAAACTGTCCAAGGTTGATTTGTCCATTGCCTTGTCCATTTGCCCATTACAATTTTTCAATGCATGCACCTCATGACATGCAGGATACATTCAACAGATATCAAATTCTTCCTATGCTCACTATGGTATATCCATTATCACTCGTCCTAAGGCAATTCCTTCAGATTACTCATGTTACACAATGATAAGTGATTCTGACTTTGAAAACTGCAGAACACAGAATGCCTTCTCTGTTGCAGTGTTACCATTTTCATTTACATGCACTTTCTAGAATTAGTAGACAATGAGACGTGTGAATGCAGATGAGAGACAAAATTAGTACAGCTATTCTATTGAATGATGTATCTCGCATACTTCTCAGATAATAATTAACATAATTACAGAATTTTAAATGGTAGCATTCATTTTGGAAGATACCATATAGGTTCTATATGTATATATATTATGATCTATTTTGTAATAAAATTATTTTTCTTCATCTATGTAGACTAATAAACATTGGCTCTATTCTTATTCTAGGAAAGGCTATAGACTTTTATACATAAAAGCACAATTAGTAAATGTAAAGCACAGCACCATAATAATGTATGTAATATAATATAATATTTATGTGAGTAAACACATTAAAGATAATTTTTAATTCTTTCAAATCCTCATAGCTACAGAATATGATAGTTAAGTGATATTATATGTGTGAATTTTGAAAATAATTTAAATAGATGCTGGTGTGTTAATATAACGAATTACTTTATAATTTAAATAATTTAAAATTCTGTAAACTAAAAAAACCAAAATGAAAATGATAGAATATAGATCTAGCTTTCAGTTGTTCTTTTCTCTGGTGAAATATAACTTTAAAGTGAATTCTTAATAGAGTAAATTACTTCTTTTGTTAATCCAATAAATTAATATTAATCTTACCAAGCAAACTAATGCCAAATCCTGTCAGTCCCTGAAGAATTCCCATACTAATTCCTACTGGTTTCTGTCGGCGCAATTCCTCTTGTCGAGAGAGATGATCTGCATCCATAGACAAAAAATCCATGTTTCTCGAAATACTTGCTGCTAGATATGTTTCCCTATGTCATTTAGATTGCCTCCTAATTTTTTGAATTTCCTTTTTAGTTTCTTAATTTTATATTTTTTATACTTAATCAAGGATTTTAAAATAATCTTTTCTATGATATTAACATCATGTTTTTGGATGCAGTTACTGATACTACGAGGTATTTGCAATGTTTTCAACGGTATATTTTGGTGTCTGCAAGTGTTGATGTACCATATGTCTATATTTAACCTATTAATTTGGCTAAGGATCACTTCAAGTCTACCTTGAGATTTAGGCATAGTTATTCTATATGACCATAATAATAATAAACAACGCTTTTTGCCCGTGACTGTAAATTAGACAGAATTAGATAACCCAACAATTAGGGTATAACGTTTTGCAGGGCTTATCACACCAAGGCCGACTGGAAGAAGGACCAGAACTTTATAAAAAAGGTTTGGTCTTTAATAATCACATATCAAATTTAGGTAAGTATGCATTTCGGGTACAAGGACCCCTCATCAGCTTACAAACACATGGCAACAACGTAACAAATACAATACCAATAACCTGTCGGTACAACGGGGTAATCTACATATGCGGTGCACTGCATTTACAAATTATCAAAGTAACTTATACACTAAAACTAAATTATCAAGTATAAATCAGCATCCAATGACAATGTGGTATCACATATTATCTCCACCCGTAAATGTCTTAGTTTCTCCTACATTTTCCAAATTCTGGTAGACGGTTACACTATTAATAATAAATATTGTTAAGTATATTAAAACCTCAACAAAGGGAGGGGAGAGGAATCCAACAATGAACTTACTCTTATTAAACCAATTGGTCTCCAAATTTTAACACAAAACAAAATACAACTAATCTATAAGCCTTTGTGAAGTCAACTGCACTGTCCATCTGCATTTTACAAGGTGATGTGCCTAAACTCCCCACATCTGTTCAGCATCTGTTTCAAGGTTAAGTGAAAACAATGTCAATCCACCCCTCATGTAGCTTCAGTCCCATGTTGTTATTAATTCTGATGTCTTCCTGTATCTTCAGAATTTCTAGGTGTTCCTGTAGTCTTCTTTTAAGTTGATTGTTTTCTGTCATAATACACTTGATGCTATCTTTTAAAATTTCACAACCTTCAGTGTTGCAATGTTGTGCCACTGATGATGATATTAAATTATTTTTGATGGCATATATATGTTCTTTACGCAAAACGTTATACCCTGCAAAACGTTATACCCTAATTGTTGGGTTATCTAATTCTGTCTAATCAAGATAGTTTTATTGAAAACTAACATTTTGGCATTCCATTAAATAGAATGCATATGTTTAAATTCAAAAATTTGACAATGGAAAAATAAGAAAATAACTGAAAAAAATAATATATACAAATATAAATATACAATAAAAAACAAAGTCAGATATAGTAACAGAAATAAAAAATAAAAATAAATCCACTAATAATACTTTAAATAAACATTGAAATAAATTGTTAAGGTATAATTGATGAAAGATGTAACTATAAACTAAGATAAGATTACTTCATCTTTTATCTTCAACAAGTTCTGGAAACCATTAAACTTCTCTTCAGATAACGATCGAATATACAAAGATTTTTCAGTTATTTTCTTATTTTTCCATTGTCAATTTTTTGAATTTAAATGTATGCATTCCATTTAATGGTACACCAATGTTCCAATTCTCTCATTAAGTCTGAGGATGTCCTATAGAGCAGGTCGAAAATGTTAGTTTTCAATAAAACTTTCTCAGCAACAAGAAAGGTGTGTTGTGATAAGAGCTAAGCATTCTACCATTATAATTAATGTAATTGTGTTAATTATTATACAAAAATATTGTAATGTACAGTACAGTACATTAAAACATTGGAAAACTGTCCAAGGTTGATTTGTCCATTGCCTTGTCCATTTGCCCATTACAATTTTTCAATGCATGCACCTCATGACATGCAGGATACATTCAACAGATATCAAATTCTTCCTATGCTCACTATGGTATATCCATTATCACTCGTCCTAAGGCAATTCCTTCAGATTACTCATGTTACACAATGATAAGTGATTCTGACTTTGAAAACTGCAGAACACAGAATGCCTTCTCTGTTGCAGTGTTACCATTTTCATTTACATGCACTTTCTAGAATTAGTAGACAATGAGACGTGTGAATGCAGATGAGAGACAAAATTAGTACAGCTATTCTATTGAATGATGTATCTCGCATACTTCTCAGATAATAATTAACATAATTACAGAATTTTAAATGGTAGCATTCATTTTGGAAGATACCATATAGGTTCTATATGTATATATATTATGATCTATTTTGTAATAAAATTATTTTTCTTCATCTATGTAGACTAATAAACATTGGCTCTATTCTTATTCTAGGAAAGGCTATAGACTTTTATACATAAAAGCACAATTAGTAAATGTAAAGCACAGCACCATAATAATGTATGTAATATAATATAATATTTATGTGAGTAAACACATTAAAGATAATTTTTAATTCTTTCAAATCCTCATAGCTACAGAATATGATAGTTAAGTGATATTATATGTGTGAATTTTGAAAATAATTTAAATAGATGCTGGTGTGTTAATATAACGAATTACTTTATAATTTAAATAATTTAAAATTCTGTAAACTAAAAAAACCAAAATGAAAATGATAGAATATAGATCTAGCTTTCAGTTGTTCTTTTCTCTGGTGAAATATAACTTTAAAGTGAATTCTTAATAGAGTAAATTACTTCTTTTGTTAATCCAATAAATTAATATTAATCTTACCAAGCAAACTAATGCCAAATCCTGTCAGTCCCTGAAGAATTCCCATACTAATTCCTACTGGTTTCTGTCGGCGCAATTCCTCTTGTCGAGAGAGATGATCTGCATCCATAGACAAAAAATCCATGTTTCTCGAAATACTTGCTGCTAGATTTGTAACAGAAACAAGTGCACCTACAACAGATGATATTATTATAACAACTATATAATTTGCTTTTATAAATAATTGTAATAAAAAATTAATCAAAAAATACCTGATGTTATTTGCTGTAAAAGAGATGCTGAGCCATGAGATATTCCACCGATGAAAGCCCATGGACCTTGAAGCAAGCCATGATAAGGAAGCCGGAAAAAATCTGCCATTCCGTTACTTACAGCTCTCGCAAATCCAGCAGGATTGCCAAGAAGATCAAGAGATCCAACGACCCAACCTAAGAATAAATCAATCTGTAACTTATTGGAAATATTGCACATGTGAATGATGATAAATTAAAAGCAAAATTTTATTACCTGCTCTTAAAAGTGCCCCAGTTAAAAAATGATGAGTGATAATATGGCCAAGTTTAAAAGTTGTCGTAAAAATTTCATCTTTATCAAAAGGTTTAAAAGAAAGAGGAGAATGATCGATGGCAACATAGAGTTTGACAGAGGCATGAAGACTTAAAAGTATATTGATGGCATCGATATGCAAATGTTGAATATGAACAGGATGAGAAAATGTCTTATTAATGATCTTAATATCTAAAGGAAGCTGCAAATCATTATTCCATTCTGGTAACTTCATTTTGGAATTATAAGATAGAAAAGAAGACTGTAATTCTGCAAGTTTATAATATAGTGAATCTTCTAGATAAATCAAAGATGGACGTAGTGTTATGGAAAGATTTTTAATCGCAACTGTAGCAGAGCCATTATCACAAGTCTTTTGTAAAAATAAATATACTACAACATGCGCAGTTTCTTTCATTTTAGACCACCTAGTTTGAAAAGAAGATTCTTTTATTTGATATATTTCAGAATAAGACAGACAATTTTGAGGTATCATCACGACTGGAAAATCGTATCCTTTGATACCTGTGCTATTCATTTGATTATCAATTTGTATTTTACCAATAAAAACATTAATTTCTTGCATACAGTGGTTATATTTTAAAACAGAATCACGTGGTTTTATCGATGGAGGTTGTGCCATTGATAATATATTATCTAAACTTAATCTTAAAATTTCTTTTGGATTTTCTTCGTTAAAATCGTCTTTCAATACAAAACATATGTGCGTTGCCGAGAATGATAAATAATAAATATTTCTTGTATCATTAATATTGTTTTCAGTTTGTGAGTCAATTGTTACTTGATTACTTTTTCTACCATTTGATATTTCAATTTCATTTTCTATCTTTGTAAATGCATCAGAATTTAACATTACTTGTGTGTTTAATCCAATTCGACTACGAATTTCCTTAGCTGAGACTTCTACCCTGTTTACGGGATCGATGAATATGTGTCTCGTGTGTCCGACTTCTTCTTTGTATATTCGAACATCACCACAACTTGGAATATTAACAAACTGATCATTAATTCTAGCAATATCAACAGGAATGCTCCATATTTTTTCAGTGTGTTCGTCCACATATAATGAGAAATGCATTGCTGGAATATGTTCAACATAATCTGGAAACTTCTGAGATATTGCTGGCAGTGTGTAATGCATTGAATTATGAGGAGAAAGAATAAGAATTCTTTGGTGAGATTCAGTATCTTCAGAAAGAATATCACCTGTAAAAAATAATTTATCTTTAAAATAAGTTTAAACTTCTAGTAATATTAAACTTCAATAGACTTCAGTTTAACATAAAAAAACAGTACGATCAAACATTTACTTGTGAAGAGTAGACTTGGTAATGCCACAAGGTTATCATGCTTTACCTTGAACACTTATTTAATACTGGCTTGATGGATATTTGCCATACTTTTCAGTATCATCAAGTCTACTGCTCATGTAAACTTTTCATTTGATCGCTCTATATTTATATTCATAAACTCCAAATACCTTTAAAATGCAGTCTATTTTAAAAACTTATCTAACGTTTTCGGTCAAATTAACAGACCTTCTTCAGGATCGAACTAACAGAATTTAAATTTGCCAAATGGAAATTCCAAAATGTACACTCTACAATCTACTCAGATTCGATTGCGCAAGTCCATTTGTTCTTTATAACTGTAAGACTAATAGAAGTAGAAAATCAGCTTTATGAAATGGATCCGGAATTGCTTGCTGAAGTTAATAGAAGAGGAGTAAACTTAGCAAATCAAGTTACAGAACGATTGATTATGAATTATAGGAAGAAAATGAGATGGATAAGAGCAAAGCAACAAAGAAGCACAAAGCCACAAGCAGTATCTGCAATAATAAGTTGGGATAATATTACACCACCAATGTGCCTAAAGGAGGCTTGCAAATTTGGTCCCAAGTATGTGCCACGCCCTAAGCTTACGTATGAAAAAATTATCCCTGATGTTGAGCAAGCATTAGAAGGGCTTAGCGAGCTTAAAAAAGAGGCTTTTAGATGGAGAACAGTTTTTAAAATAAACAATGACGTTGCAAGATCAACCCAAGACACAATTTGGAAAAGTGTAAGAGAAAATAAGCAATGAATGTGCGATAACAATATAGTGCTTACAAGAGCTGATAAGTCAAAAACTATGGTCTTAATGAAGAGGAACACGTATAAGAAGCTTTTAACAGCGTACATAAGAGACACGGAATGCAAAATGGAACACCCAAAGGCATTGGAAAGGTTACAAGCAAGAATAAAACGTTTCTCTATGACAACTTTAGCTAAGCAACGAGGCTATTTGGATTTGCTAAGACACTTAAATCAGAAAGAAGCTTGAAGCCAGTAGTGGATAAATGCTGTGCTCCTACGATATTATTAGAAAGGAAGCTTAAGGAATTAATGTGAACATGCCTCCACACATTTATAATGTAAAGCAGCCATTAGAAGTGCTCCAGAAGTTGAAACAACTGAAAGTTAACAAAACAAGCTACATGACAGTGCTCGATATTAAGGCTATGTACCCTTCAATTAAGCTTGAGCCATGCTTTTGTCACCTAAAAGATATTTTATTGGGCAATATCGATAACGCAGCAAAGTTAAGAAAGCAAATTCTAGAACTGGCGCATTTGGCTACATTCTCGTCACTTTTTGTGTTTGACGGTACTGCATACTCGCAGCTTAGAAGAGTACCAATAGGTAGCCTGGTCTCAGGCTTATTGTGAGAGATGGTAATAAGATCTCTGGAAAATAGCGTATTGCAGAAATATGAAGATAATATGATAATGTATGCAAGGTACGTCGACGACGTATTTATTATTTGGAATGATAAACCAGACATACGCCAATTTATTAGAGATATAAACAGCAATACTTATGGCCTGGAATTAGAACTAGAGCAGCAAAATCATAAAAGGGTACATTTCTTAGATATAGAGGTCAAAATAGATGAAGAAGGGCAAATCACTACAAAAGTATATAGAAAGCCGACGTACGTTCCAGATTTGATACAATGGTCCTCTCATGACCCAACAAGCTATAAACTAGCAGCGTTTAGAGCACTGATTAAAAGAGCATACACTCATTGTAGTAAGATTCATGACACACGTAAAGAGCTTGAATACATCGCAAAGCTAGCAAGAGATGTAGGGCTTAAGCAAAATAAAGTAAAAGCCTTAATACAAGAAGAAAAAGGAGGCAGTAAGAATAAAGATAAGAGAGAGAAAAAGGAGTTCACCGTAATGGAATACAGGACACCATTAAGTAACATATACAGAAAAATAGGAATAGAAAGCAACAAGAAAATAGCGTATAAGAGAAACACGACAATATTCCAAATGCTAAGAAATGACAAAACACCCATAAACAGGAGGCAAGTTCCAGGCATGTACAGAATACCGTTGCATGATAAGAGGATGAAAAAGGAGCTATATTATATAGGAGCCACAAAGAGATTGTTAAACGAAAGATTGAAGGAGCACGAAAAGAATATAAGATTTAAACAGCCAGTCATGGCTTTGGCTAATTATGCAATCGCGGATCCAACAGAGATTGCAGTCGAATAGAGCAAGGCTGATGTTATACAAAAAGTTGAAAATAGAAGACATCTAAAGTATGCAGAGGCCTGGCACATCTATAAGTACAGGGAAAAAGGGAAAAATATAAATTTTCGAGAATCAAACAAAATAGCATCAGCATGGAAAGCGGCGGAGTTACAGTTATAAGGAACAAATGGACTTGCGCAATTGAATCTGAGAAGATTGTAGAGTGTACGTTCTGGAATTTCCATTTGGCAAATTTAAATTCTGTTAGTTCGATCCTGAGGGAGGTCTGTTAATTTGACCGAAAACATTAGATAAGTTTTTTAAAACAGACTGCATTTTAAAGGTATTTGGAGTTTATTAATTAGTAATGCAGGTAAAGATTTATATTTATATTCTTACTTAACTTACCTTCTTTATTAGATCTTGCATAAACATGTTCAAATGTTAATGAATACTGAGTATTATTATGAAACATAAATAATGGACAGGAATCGTGAGTTATAACAAGATATTTAACACCTTTCTTCTCATGACATGTCATAACATATGGTTTAGTATACAGTTTTTCTGGTTCGGGAATCGAAAAAGTGTATCTTCGATCAAATTTCATATTTTGTTGAATGCAAACGGGATAGCTCCAATATTCAAAATTTTTAATGTATTCGTCAGTTTCTTGATTTGTCGAATGATAAAATTCAAAATAGTGGCTCAACTTATTATCGTTTTCACGGAACAATGACACATCGGAAATTTCCCAAAACAATAAAGGTTGTACAGAACAGTTATCGGAGGTTGATTTTATCTTCATTGGCTTCTGACAGTTCGACATTTTCTAATATAATAAAATTGACTTTAACAATTTATTTATTACATAAACAGATTCCTTTTTGTTCTTTCAAATAAAATAAATTACCTGAAGTGATGTTAATGATATATAACTAATCATGTGGAGGTCTTTATTCGAATTATTAGTAATATAAATTGTTGGCTGAATGGTAACAATATTAATTCCTTCTTCTTTTAATGATGATACAAGAAGCAGACATATCTAAATAAATGTTTAGTATGAAATTTATTGAATTTATTAAGTTTTTATTATGTCAAATAACGTAAGAGTAAATATACTTTCGAAATTTTATTGTCAACCACTTCAATGGGTATAGTTGCATAACCAAATAAAGGCAAAACGTCTTCCATTTTTGACCAGTACAATCTGTCTTGATCACTAATCCGTAATGATTTAGAAAAGAATGATTTTCCTTGATGTTGTACTCCTATTTGGAAAGATTTCTGTAGAAAAATTTAAATATAATAAACTCATTAACACTCCAAAATTTCAAAATAAATATAAGAAAAATTCCTTTATTAAAATTAGTGTAGAGAAACAAACATCAATTTCTTTGTACAGCAATGTAATAAAATAGAGCATCGATTATCCGACTCAATTGGGGACTCAGGTTGGTCGGATAACTGAAAAAATCGGATAACCGAAAAGAAGGAAAAAAATACATTATTACTACAGTATATTAGTATATCCCATGTAATTAGTATATTAGTATATCGCTATTAACCAACTTTGCGTTGAATTTTCATCGATGTTATGCCTAACAATTTTTTTTTTTTTTAAATCATCGCTATTGTATCGTTAAAAATTATTTTAAAATTATTTTATTGCTCACAAAACAAACAACCACTCATAATTAGAAAATTAAGTCTCGTTTAAATACTGGCCTCCCTTCAATGGTCCGGCTCAACCATTTGCCAGCTAAAACATGCAAAAATTTAACAAAAATAATATTAAAATAGCCAAGACATAGTCAAATATTGTAGTGCCACATCACTACGGACATTTGAAATTTGCTGACTAGAACGGTCGGTTAACCGAAGTGACGGTTAATTGGGGGTCGGATAATCGATGCTCTACTGTATTTGGATAATCTGCCAAATGAGAATGCCTCTTGGGAGGACATTCTATGAAAAACCAGCTCCTATTTGGGTATTATATACATAAAGAAAACCTAGAAAACTCCACATAACCAGTCTCTTGGTAAGGCACAAGGCCACGACCAATTAACTGTGTTCGGTAGTGTTATCCACTTGGGCACTTAAACAGAAAGTATTCAAGAATGATTTGTTGAGTTAAACTTGAATTTTACATAAGAGTTTTCATGAATCATCCCCAGAGGTGGAAACAGGTCTGAAAGCACTAAAAAACTGAAGTTTGTTTTTCTACTTTGACTAAAAGCATTAAGTTTTTTTTATTAAACTTATGACTTTAGCAAGTCATAAGACAAAAATTTTTACTTGAAGAGATGGAGGAGTAAAGATGGAGTAACGATTTATCTTCCATTCCTGTCCGTTATCATCCAACATGTATAAATCTATGTTAGTTTTATTAATAAGGAGACCGTATGGTTTAACGTCGATTAAGATAGTGTTACAACCGGGCCACTGCTGTGATAATCCAACCTGTAACTCTATATCAGGTAACTCCGAAGGTTTAGATATACAGGAAAAATGATTCGGTTTTGGAATATTTGGTAATGTTGAATTATTTTTAAAGAGTTCTTTGATTTCACTGAAAAATAAAAACCAAATTTAATTAGTTAAATAACAAAAAATTTATGTTGTTCAAGTTTACTAATATATATCCATCATAACAATCTTTTATGAGAATGCATTTATAAATTCTAGATGCCACTATATATTTATTCTGTACATGAATGAAAGTGTGTACATAAATTTGATCAAAGAATTCTAAAGGTCAAACAAAGAAACAAAAACACATACAGTCGACACCCTATAACACTGTTGATAATTCCATTTTATATGAAATCCATGTTGTACGAGTCACTTAGATTTTACAAATATGTGTGCCAGGCTGTGAATGGCTCACGTATTTGTAAAATCTAAGTGACTCGTACAACATGGATTTCATATAAAATGGAATTATCAACAGTGTTATAGGGGGGTCGACTTTACATACATACACACATACATACATACATACGCAGGATGGCCCATAAGAATTTAGTAGAATAAGATATATTTTAAATCTTCTGAAACCATGTTGTCTTTATTTCTTTGATTCACTAACACAAGGTGTGTTTCTATTTCAAAACTTTGTGGCATTCCATCTTTATTTAGCTGATCAACTAAATAAAGACGGAATACCGCCAAGTGTTGAAATAGAAACACACCTTGTGTTAGTGAATCAAAAAAAATAAGTTCGGTAGACTATCAATACAGCTTTCAGGTTAGATACTTCTTTTATTGTTTTGACATATGCATTTCGGACTTATATATATTTTAAGTCCCTCTTCTGTTCAAAACTAAGGTTATGTCTTTTAAAACCACAGTGTATAACAGGTAACATTGGAACGGGTAACTTTCCAATGTTACCCGTTATACACCGTGGTTTTAAAAGACAGAACCTTAGTTTTGAACTGAAGAGGGACTTAAAATATATATAAGTCCGAAATGCATATGTCAAAACAATAAAAGAAGTATCTAACCTGAAAGCTGTATTGATAGTCTACCGAACTGAATTGATCGGATTAAAGAGACACATTCACAACGAAATAGCAGCTACCATAAGTGATATTTTAGAAGAAAAAAAATAAGATATATGCTGATCTTTATTCTCTTACAGGTGAAGCATGGTACTAAGTAAAAAGAAACAAATTCAAGTTATTTTGGTGTTGGGAAGTCACAGTCAGTGTAAAGTTGGCAAAGAGTTTAATAGGTTGATCCAGACTTTCCGCTACTCACATGCAGCAATCTGGATGCATCTTGTTAAATTCTTTGATGACTTCTCACACATTGTGGGTCCCCACCACCAAATTAATTGGATTCTTATCTCCTCAGTGCCATGCTTTGCCTGTAAAAGAGTAAACAAAGATCATCTTAACTCCAATTACTCCAGACTTATGGAACACCCTGCATACATTCTAAAGAAACTTGTCATAAGATTTGTATCATTCAATATAATTTTCAATAACTTACATTCTTGGAATTCAATATCATATAAAATATTTTAACACATTACCTGGTAATTTCAGCATTATCATAGGGCCAGCATAATGATTGAATAGACGTAGTATGATTATACAGAAGTGAATAGTCAATATCAGATGATGTTTCTTTAATTTCATCGATTAGAGAAGAGGAAAGTGAAATTGCCGGAGCAGACATTTTCATACCTTTAATTAAAATATTATAATGCCATACATATTTATTTTTTATACATTAAGAACTGTTATTAGAAAATAAAATATTTTAAAGACTGACCAGGTGCCATCTGAAAACTCAGAGAGTAACAAAGATTTGCATCGCCTATGGTAAGGAGTTGATGTTCTTCACCTTGACCAGAAATTTCAACACAGTGTGAGATATGATTATCCAGATGTGCTAATAATGGATGTGGTAAATGATTGCGAACCATAAATACTGGAGAAAATAAAATCTAAATAAAGAATTAGTAAGATTACTTAATAAATTTTTTGTAGTAGAAAATAATATTGAAGATAGTCAAGCACTTACCAGTGTGCTACTGATTTTCTGTGTTATTTGCTGATCTAATATGTGACACCAGAAAGATAAGTAATGAGAACTATCTTTCATTGGTAGCTTAATTAAAAAAAAAACAATAATTTTATTAATAAATTTTTTTTTAATTCTGATAAAATGACATGTCTATAATAAAAATCAAATTATGGATGATTAAAGCTATTTCAGATAATTTAAAATAGCAATACACAAAATTTTTCATTCTATATTCTTATTCTTTATCATTTTTTTGAATTTCTGATGCTAGAAGGACTTCAAAAAACAATTTTATTCATCTTTTTAGGAGCAGAAAAGTCTATAAAAAAAAGGCAAACTTCATTATTTTTTTGTTCCTGTGATATGAAAAGAATGCAGTGAGATGTGTGGTCATATGCCATATTTTTGTATATCGTGATTATGTCAAAATGCAAAATAGTTTAATTTCTATTAAACAAAAATTACTACATTAACCCTTTAAATAAAATTTTCTGTGTAATATATAAATAAATGTTTATGTTATCTGTTCCATTTACTAGATAAAGAGTTTAAATGGTATTGGATTAACCAGAACTTTTAATAACTGGGATAGCATTTTCCGTATTCACCTCGAATAATAGTGTGTCTACTCTAATTTTAAAATTTGGCATAACTAAAGTAACATTGTTTTATATATCTGTCAGTTGTATTTTAGTAGATGATGACACACTAGAATATACATGATAGTTTAAATGTGTAGAGAGATTTATTTATTTTGTAAGCATAATTTATGTAAGCCCTTTTTGTCCTCCTTTCATACCTAGAGATTGGCTAATATAGTCTGCGAAGGACTAATTGTCGTCCTGGAGTTTTAATTACAAAATAAAGGTTCACTCTGCTGAAGCCCTCCTCAGATTGCATAATCTAATTGCATAATTTAATTCCAAGGTGTAAAATGGACAAATTATGAAAATAATTTTACCCTTATTTAGTATTTTTCTGATCTTGGGATCCAATCCATACAGGAATCTTAATTGTCAATATTTAAAAATATATATTTTAAATATATATATATAATATAGAGACACAATCAGATAAAATTTCCCTGCTTGAAAAAAATATACTGAATATATTGTTCTAAAGATTATTGATATCTGTTGTTCCCAAGATATGCAGTAGTTAAATGAAACAATGGGTAACATGATGTTTCAGTTATCAAACCAGATGTGTAGTGGCAGCTCAAAATGGTGGCTGCTTCGAAAAGTGATTCCAAGTCAAACTTTTTGGAGTCATATGCTTTCTTCAGGCACAAGGACAATCAGCAGTCACATTCTATCAACATCTTGGACAGTACAGTATATGGAGGTAATGTGATGTCGAAACAACAAGTATAGAAATGGGGTCACACATTTAGAGATGACAGGGAAAGTATTAGCAACGACAACTCCTGTTACATTTTGGAACATCCACCCTACTGGCACCTAGCAATTTTCATCTGTTCCCTGCCTTAAAGGAGCACATGTTCAACCATTGCTTTACATATAACGATACATACGACAAAGGTACTACAATAATGTGGCTACAACAGTAGAGCCGGGACTTCTACGCATTAGGGATGGAAAACTTATCTCTCACAGTGACAAATGTCCAAACCATAATGGGAACTATGTGAAAAAAATAAAGTATTGTTGTCACTTTAAAATCACCTTATCAGTGTACAATGGTGGAACTTTGTCTTCCATACATTAATTAAGAAAACTTTTTTCCTGGTTGCCCCTCATATATTTTAAAATAAACAAATGAATTTCCATATAAAAAAAATAACCAACATAAACTAAGACATAATAAATTAGATAATAAATTAATATTTTACCTTAATTAATTGATTTGGCACTTTGTTTTTCGTAATTGTAACGCTTTCGGACCAGGGAGTGTCAAGCCCCATCAGTCTCACTCGAAATGCCCCAATCTGATTTTTACTGAAGATAAATGATGGCAGAATACTCTGCTTATTTAAACCCAATGTTAATTTATGTCCCGTCCAATCTCTGACAGGAAGAAAAGGATTGATAGTCTGTAACTGAACTTCTAAATTTTGGTTTAGTTTATTTGAAATCATTAACTGTCCATTGATAATTATCTGAAAGCAATTAAACAATTATGAAAATGTCATTAATGTTAAAAGATGCTTATTAATAAATTTTTTAATTAAAAATAAGTTACCTGTTTCTGCACATTAGATAAAGAAACTATTTTGATAATCAATGTAATTGAATATTCTTTATTTTTCACTGTCTGAATCAAAGTCATGCTTGAATCTATACTAAATGCTTCACACCATTTCCATTTCATGTTCTCCAAACAGACATGAATTTGCTATAAAAATATTAAAATGAAAAAATTTAACAGACGTTCTACTGAAATAATTGAGAAAAAAAATAAATAATAGTATATATATACAAAATTGTTAGAGTTAATTAGTGAAGTACGAAAAAATGGAGAAATTAGCACAGAACAAATTTAATTAGTATGAAAGAGTAGAATGATATAGAAGCTGATCCTGCAACAAGTGGAAACCTTTTCCCACTTATTGCAGGATCACCTTTTATATCATAAAATAATAAGGGTGATGATAACTGTGTGACACTATTCTCCTATAAAAATATATTTAACAATGTTTGGATAAAGTTTTTGTATTATTTGATCTGAATTGGAATATTTTAAATACAGTGATAATGATGATGATAATGATAATGAGGTCCCTTAACTAATGACAAACTGCAAATGATTATGCAGCCATACAATGCTATGGGTACTACCAGATCTTGAACATTTCATGTGATGCTTTTCCTGAAAAGAAGTGACAAAGGGTATATTGTCATGTTTCTGAGTTGACCAAATGCTTCATTTTAAAATTGTAAATGCTGAAAATGTCACTTTGTGTAAATAGTTAGTAGAAAATTTTACTGTTGTCAAATTTTTTGCAATTTCCTATTTTCAATACATTCAATTATGCAACCGCATTTGGGGTGCAACCCATAGTTTAAGAAGCCCATAAAATATGAACAAAGTGAAATATTAACGACTAAAAAAAATAAAATACTGCAACTTTGTTACCCTATTTTCATATCACTTATCTTTTTGTCTCATAAGTGAATAAACTTCAGTAACATCTGAAGTTTATTCACTTATGAGGACATAGTATGTAATTACAAGAGAAAATATGTGAAAATAAATGTGGAGAAATAAGTTTTATCAAAATGCTTCAGAAGTGTGACCTATTATTTGGACAAAGACCTGTTCGTGTTTAGAGCTACATACTCACCAAGTTTCGTTTGAATCAAAGGCCCTCTCCTTGTCTCCTAATAAGAATCATTCTTGAATAATTTAATGAATAATTCCAAATAACACATTTGTACACAATGTTTAAACAGTATTTCACATGTTTTGTTATGTCAAAATTTTTGTTTTAGTCTACTGAAAAAAGACCCAAAAAATTCTCCAAATTTTCTGTTGGTTGATAAAAAAAATTCCCAATCTGGAAACATTGGGTTGCATTGCATGGAAACTGCGTTCGGTTCTTGATGTCACTTCTTATTTTTCTGCCTGGACTTGCCATGTGACATCATGAAATCACTAGGTGTCTTGTGTATGTGCGCTAGACATTCTGCTATTTTTTTCGCAAGTGTGCTGTGTGATTCAATTTTATGCTGAATATCAAAATAAGTGGACTAAGGTTTTTATCGTTAGCATTATATTTTTATCACCATTTTAATAAATATCAGCAAGTGGCAATTTTGGCACTATACAGCAAAACCCCTCTAGAAGGCTGTTTAGAACTGTTTTCTTTAATAATGGATTGGAAGCTGATATTTGATCTTAAAATAATTTATCCTGTTGGTTTGCTTAGACATTGTCATTTTAACAAATATTTTTAGCTTTAAGTTAAGAATAAAATTTTACATAAAACAATTAGAATATTAAAAATTATTTAATTTTAATGCACTCTTTTAAATATTCCAAATTTTATTATTACAGGTAACTCCCCGTATAATACAGCACTTCTATAGCACGGATTCACTCTAACATGGTTCGAGAATTGGGAACATCCCCCATATAACATGATGCTTTTATAGCACGGGTTCACTCTAACACGGTTCAGGAATTGGGTAAAACCCTCATACAACATAAAATGTAATAAAGGGTGCATTCTTTTATACCTCTGCGTAACTCCATGCGAGCATTCTAATTTTTTTCGTGGCTACTTTGAATGCTCTTTCAACAAATAATCCATTTAATGGTTAAATTTTACAATTGGGACCCTTCTTTTGCCTCTAAAAGCTCATTTTAGAATTATAGATTCCTCCACACGATACTATCGATAGTGTAGACACTGCCATCTTTCTTTTACTGTCATTCCTAAATGCCTACAAACAGCAGTGCACTCCCATTGCAGAGCAACTGCTATTAACAAACACACCCACAAACTGTTACCAGTTGATGATGCTCATGCTAGATCATCATATGAAATGAATAATCCTCTGGTAAAATATTTACTTAAATACTAAATAAGTATTTTACCTATGAAAAAAATGAATAATAAATGTTTAACAACATGTTTATTAATTTTTGAAACCTAACCCCTCTTTTCGCACTAGTTCTTTGTTTCATATAACATGGATTCGCATAACACTGCAACTTTCTGGAATGTAATTCCTGTGTTATACAGGGGTTACTTATATTTGAAATTTTTTCCAACAAATTTAACTGTCATTTAATGCATTTTTAAAAAACTAAAACAGGAAATTATTTTTCAGAAATTATAAAAACTCCATAAACATGAGTCATTTACACATTTCTTAATATTTAACAAATATGTCAAATGCAAGAATATTATACTCATAGGGCAAGAAAGAGTTAAAAATAAAAAAAAAACAGAACTGGTATAATAAGTAGTTAAAGGAGAAAATATCCAATAAAATTATAAGAAAAGTTTAGATATATAAATAGAAAGAATAGTGATAAATTTACAAAAGCTATCTTGAATGTAAAGATAAAAAGAAATAAAAGAAAAGGAAAATGAGATAAAGATGGATTAATAAAATGAAAATACACTACACAAAAAAAAAAGGAATAAACTTAGAATCTATAGTTAATGTGACAGAAAATCAAAAGATACGGAGAAAATTTATAAATTGAAAAATACAAATTGACAAAGATTAATCTCTCACAATTTGTTCTCCCTCCTGCCACTTGTACATCCAGAAGGATATTAAATAAGAGATAATGATAAATATTTCATAATTTATCTGAGCTGTTTTTATCTTTTGTTTTTTGACTGTGTTTAAAAATTATAATTAAAAATATGATTTGTATGTTAACTTTAATCTAATTTAAAATATACTGATATTTAAATTATTGATATTATCTATACTGATATTATAAAGAGGTAAAGTTTGTAAGTTTCGATGTAGGGGTACTCTCCGAAACTACTCTTCCGATTTCAAAAATTCTTTCACCAATATTTAGAATGGAACTTCAGGATGGACATAGGCTGTATATTATTCCGTTAAACATTCATATAAATTAAAAGATATCATCTATGATTAAGGCTTTTATGTCCAACAGATGGTGCTAACTCTGCGTGTACGACGACCTAAGTTTGCTTTTCTGTGAGGCATTATGCGTTTCTGTGAGGATGAACTAAAGCAGATCATCTTCTATCTGTCTATATAAATAAAAATATAATGTTCATTTGTTTCTCCCGATTCCTTTGAAACTTTGACACAACGTTGCATTCGAATACACATGTGTTTTTATATAATATACGTGTCGAAATTCCCCCCACTGGTGTGGAGATGGACAGGATTAAAGCTTACTGTGAAGAACTTAGCTTCTATTATACTATTTTAGATGCGGTTTTTTGCTGTGACATCATGAAATCACTAGGTGTCTTGTGTATGTGCGCTAGACATTCTGCTATTTTTTTCGCAAGTGTGCTGTGTGATTCAGTTTTATGCTGAATATCAAAATAAGTGGACTAAGGTTTTTATCGTTAGCATTATATTTTTATCACCATTTTAATAAATATAAGCAAGTCACACATTTAGAGATGACAGGGAAAGTATTAGCAACGACAACTCCTGTTACATTTTGGAACATCCACCCTACTGGCACCTAGCAATTTTCATCTGTTCCCTGCCTTAAAGGAGCACATGTTCAACCATTGCTTTACATATAACGATACATACAACAAAGGTACTACAATAATGTGGCTACAACAGTAGAGCCGGGACTTCTACGCATTAGGGATGGAAAACTTATCTCTCACAGTGACAAATGTCCAAACCATAATGGGAACTATGTGAAAAAAATAAAGTATTGTTGTCACTTTAAAATCACCTTATCAGTGTACAATGGTGGAACTTTGTCTTCCATACATTAATTAAGAAAACTTTTTTCCTGGTTGCCCCTCATATATTTTAAAATAAACAAATGAATTTCCATATAAAAAAAATAACCAACATAAACTAAGACATAATAAATTAGATAATAAATTAATATTTTACCTTAATTAATTGATTTGGCACTTTGTTTTTCGTAATTGTAACNGAACCCTTCTTTTGCCTCTAAAAGCTCATTTTAGAATTATAGATTCCTCCACACGATACTATCGATAGTGTAGACACTGCCATCTTTCTTTTACTGTCATTCCTAAATGCCTACAAACAGCAGTGCACTCCCATTGCAGAGCAACTGCTATTAACAAACACACCCACAAACTGTTACCAGTTGATGATGCTCATGCTAGATCATCATATGAAATGAATAATCCTCTGGTAAAATATTTACTTAAATACTAAATAAGTATTTTACCTATGAAAAAAATGAATAATAAATGTTTAACAACATGTTTATTAATTTTTGAAACCTAACCCCTCTTTTCGCACTAGTTCTTTGTTTCATATAACATGGATTCGCATAACACTGCAACTTTCTGGAATGTAATTCCTGTGTTATACAGGGGTTACTTATATTTGAAATTTTTTCCAACAAATTTAACTGTCATTTAATGCATTTTTAAAAAACTAAAACAGGAAATTATTTTTCAGAAATTATAAAAACTCCATAAACATGAGTCATTTACACATTTCTTAATATTTAACAAATATGTCAAATGCAAGAATATTATACTCATAGGGCAAGAAAGAGTTAAAAATAAAAAAAAAACAGAACTGGTATAATAAGTAGTTAAAGGAGAAAATATCCAATAAAATTATAAGAAAAGTTTAGATATATAAATAGAAAGAATAGTGATAAATTTACAAAAGCTATCTTGAATGTAAAGATAAAAAGAAATAAAAGAAAAGGAAAATGAGATAAAGATGGATTAATACTCCAAACAGACATGAATTTGCTATAAAAATATTAAAATGAAAAAATTTAACAGACGTTCTACTGAAATAATTGAGAAAAAAAATAAATAATAGTATATATATACAAAATTGTTAGAGTTAATTAGTGAAGTACGAAAAAATGGAGAAATTAGCACAGAACAAATTTAATTAGTATGAAAGAGTAGAATGATATAGAAGCTGATCCTGCAACAAGTGGAAACCTTTTCCCACTTATTGCAGGATCACCTTTTATATCATAAAATAATAAGGGTGATGATAACTGTGTGACACTATTCTCCTATAAAAATATATTTAACAATGTTTGGATAAAGTTTTTGTATTATTTGATCTGAATTGGAATATTTTAAATACAGTGATAATGATGATGATAATGATAATGAGGTCCCTTAACTAATGACAAACTGCAAATGATTATGCAGCCATACAATGCTATGGGTACTACCAGATCTTGAACATTTCATGTGATGCTTTTCCTGAAAATAAGTGACAAAGGGTATATTGTCATGTTTCTGAGTTGACCAAATGCTTCATTTTAAAATTGTAAATGCTGAAAATGTCACTTTGTGTAAATAGTTAGTAGAAAATTTTACTGTTGTCAAATTTTTTGCAATTTCCTATTTTCAATACATTCAATTATGCAACCGCATTTGGGGTGCAACCCATAGTTTAAGAAGCCCATAAAATATGAACAAAGTGAAATATTAACGACTAAAAAAAATAAAATACTGCAACTTTGTTACCCTATTTTCATATCACTTATCTTTTTGTCTCATAAGTGAATAAACTTCAGTAACATCTGAAGTTTATTCACTTATGAGGACATAGTATGTAATTACAAGAGAAAATATGTGAAAATAAATGTGGAGAAATAAGTTTTATCAAAATGCTTCAGAAGTGTGACCTATTATTTGGACAAAGACCTGTTCGTGTTTAGAGCTACATACTCACCAAGTTTCGTTTGAATCAAAGGCCCTCTCCTTGTCTCCTAATAAGAATCATTCTTGAATAATTTAATGAATAATTCCAAATAACACATTTGTACACAATGTTTAAACAGTATTTCACATGTTTTGTTATGTCAAAATTTTTGTTTTAGTCTACTGAAAAAAGACCCAAAAAATTCTCCAAATTTTCTGTTGGTTGATAAAAAAAATTCCCAATCTGGAAACATTGGGCTGCATTGCATGGAAACTGCGTTCGGTTCTTGATGTCACTTCTTATTTTTCTGCCTGGACTTGCCATGTGACATCATGAAATCACTAGGTGTCTTGTGTATGTGCGCTAGACATTCTGCTATTTTTTTCGCAAGTGTGCTGTGTGATTCAATNATATTCTGGCCCTTTTGTTCTTAAAATATTGTCTAAGTCGGACCTTCTGCTTTTAACAACCCACTGAGTGCATCTGAAAATCAATATAAACACATACGTTGAATGATAACAATATTTTAAATGAGGAATGTTGATATAAATGAAAACAATCTAATTGCTTATGAATTTACTTACAGTACACTTGTTTGTTTTTAGGGAATCTGTAAAACGACTTGCGATCACTTTGTATCTTATAGTTAAAGCAGCCATACATAGCGCAAATAACCCCTCTTCCGGCCATTCTAATTATTATGAGATATAAAAATGTTCAAAACTATATTAATATTAATATAGTAATATATATATAATAATATAAGACCATTATATCTATCCTTCACTCAGTCAATCCCAATGCAAGCCAGACTTACAATATGTAAAAGTAGGTTCACACTTTAACCAACTAAACTAACTGATATGACTGACAACTCAAACATCTTTGGCCAAAAGTACTTGCACTAGCAATTGGCAGTTATAATCTGTCTATGAAAAGAATCAACTTGAGTATTAACCAATGAACATCAGTTACTGATCACTTAGTTGTGGCAAGTTACTTCCAGTTTCTTTCTCATTTGTTAAACATATTACAGTCATTATAAACAGTATTATGAAACTTCACGATTCTATGATTCTTTACAGTTAACAAATGCTATAAAAAATTAACAGAAAAGTTGTTCTGCCATCTAGTGAAACAAAACAAAATAAAATTCACAAATCACCTCACATATTAAGTGAAAAGTGCTGACTAAGGAATGTGCTGAATGGTTTAACTGAAGTGACATCATGCGTGATGTTGCTGTCAAGCATGATTCTTTCCATAGACAGATTATACTGGTTGTTTACCATTCAGCCATTAAAATCAATAGTACATCTTGACAAATGACATCACCCATCTTTATTCTCGAGAGAAAGTCATGACTACTTTTTCTTTACATCACAAACTGACCACTTTGAGGAAGCTGATATGCGACTGCTATCCAAAAAACATTCAAGTGGTTCATACTGAATCGATTTGCCAACAGTTATTTAATTTTTTGAATTGGTGGATGATCGACAATGGTTATTATGAAAACATGATGTAGAATTGGCTTGGTTAACAGTGTGAACCCACCTTAATGATTAAAAATTAACAGAAAAGTTGTTCTGCCATCTAGTGAAACAAAACAAAATAAAATTCACAAATCACCTCACATATTAAGTGAAAAGTGCTGACTAAGGAATGTGCTGAATGGTTTAACTGAAGTGACATCATGCGTGATGTTGCTGTCAAGCATGATTCTTTCCATAGACAGATTATACTGGTTGTTTACCATTCAGCCATTAAAATCAATAGTACATCTTGACAAATGACATCACCCATCTTTATTCTCGAGAGAAAGTCATGACTACTTTTTCTTTACATCACAAACTGACCACTTTGAGGAAGCTGATATGCGACTGCTATCCAAAAAACATTCAAGTGGTTCATACTGAATCGATTTGCCAACAGTTATTTAATTTTTTGAATTGGTGGATGATCGACAATGGTTATTATGAAAACATGATGTAGAATTGGCTTGGTTAACAGTGTGAACCCACCTTAATGATTAAAAATTAACAGAAAAGTTGTTCTGCCATCTAGTGAAACAAAACAAAATAAAATTCACAAATCACCTCACATATTAAGTGAAAAGTGCTGACTAAGGAATGTGCTGAACACAATACAGCCTACAATGTGCTGGTGTGTTGCATTAATCAATCAAACAATTAATAAAATAATTTAAAGTATTGAATTTTTATGTAACCAGACCTTTTTATTGTTGTGTGATTTCCAACTGTAAGCATGCATTTTCTGACTAGGTAACATAATGGCTTCATCAGTATCAATCTAGCAAAAACAAAATATTGTTTTTAAGTGTTAAAATATCATTTTTAATAGAATTTATTTTTAAAAATTTATAATTACTTGTCCAACATAAATTGTTTGTTGAGTATTATTACAGATAATGTAATAATTTGGTAATATTTGTTTAATTTCTGATGATTTATTTAGAACCTAGAAGAAAAAACTGATTTAAGATTTGGCAAAATTAAACAAGAACATTGAAAATAATTTCTAAACGAAATTAACTTACCTGCAACCAACTATCAATGCCGATATTTAACGTATGAATGATCGACTGACTTATTTGAATGAAGCATGGATGAATGGTAACTTTGATCTCGTATATAGGAGGCTTTGAAAAAAATCATATGAAATTAATACAAGCATTACATTTGATATTGAAATGTCAAGAATTAAATATTAAATATTTACTTGAGAATTTTTAAATTATGTAGAAGAATTTTATTTTATAGATAGATTAAATTTTAATGTATTTTAATGTAAAAATGAATCCAAAATGTAAAAGTGAAGATAAATACAAAAAATATCACTATTATCATGGAAACTAAACTGGGCATTACAAAATTAACAAATGCAAAAATAAATGTGTTAGGGGGAATAAAACTAGTACTAAGCAATAGTGAGAGGATAAACAAGCAAAGTATTCTATTAAGTATGTTGAAGAATCAAACACTGACAATAAGTTATTCTGTGTACAAATGTACTTTCTAGGTTAGTTTTTGACATACAACAAAACCTCAGGAACCTAACCTGTTTGTAAGAAGGAGAGTTCCTATATTAAACATCAATATAAGTACAGTGACCCCCCTATAATTACGGTCCCTATAATTACGATTCCTATAAAACTACGAAAAAATTGTGACCGGTATCCGTAAAAAACAGTAAAAGCCCCCTATAATTACCTCAAACGTCATTGGGCAGCCGAACTACTTTCCCGCCGTCCGTAGCACCACGCTACGGAGAGATTTCTATCGTCTGGACAGTATTATATAAATTATATATAAATTAGGTACTGTACATATAATTATATATTAATTATATATAAATTAGGTACTGTATATATAATTATATATTAACTTATTGTAACTTTGTTATAATTAAATATATAATTTCCGCCGTCTAGCGTGGCGCCACGCTACGGAGATTTTTACGCTAACTATCGTCTGTCAGTATGTAAATTAGGTACCGTAAGTCTAATACAGTACTGTAATTTTATACATTTCTTGTGAAAGAAACATTTCTTATTCAACGGCGATTAAAATTATTTATATTAATGATGTCTCCGAAGTTCTACGAAGTTTTCACAGAAAAATAAGTTGTTAGAAATCGGCCGCTCTTTGCTGAGCTGTTCCGCGACGAAAACAATGTTGAGCAATGGCAATGTCGAATGGTGACACTCGGTAAGTAATCCTACAATTTTTTGTTTATAGCGTAGTTTATACGGATTATTCCCAAAAAATATATACGTATTTTGGAAATGTTGAGTCGGATTAGTCTAGAATCGATTAATTTTATGGAAGAAAACCTTTCAATCAGCCATAGTCCGTAAACTTGACACGTGTCGGGCTGTGATTGGAACGACTCGTAAGAAATCGGATTCCTAAAGAATGGAATGTATCTATATCTTATAGGGGGGTCGACTGTATTTTCTTTCATCTTTTATCAGTGTCATTTACCTACTGTTCAATTTTTTCAGTACTTTAAAAGTAAATATAAAAATCAGAAGCATTTCAGAAGTATTTTGGCTGTAGAAATATAAACAAGAAATACTATTATAAAATTTGTTCTTATTAATATTTTACCATTTTCACCCACATTATTAATATAATTAGTTCAAAAGGAAAATGATTCAAGTTCAATTCATAATATAAAAATACTAGCCAAAATATCCAGCAATACCCAAGAACTGTAAATTTTCTTATGGTTAGATAATGTAAATCTAGCAACAATACATGATGGTTATAACACTTCACATAAGTATCTCCCTAAGAAATCTCAAGAATGTACATATACAACATAATACAAGCCAAAACTGTTAGCCAAATTTAAGCTTAAACTGCTGGATTATTTTTCTGGCTAAGTACTTGAACTATTGACCTAAACCAGTGTTTTTCAACCTTCTTGAATAAGCGACCCCTTTACAAGTTAAAAAATTCTGGTGACCCCCTAGGGCCATATTAAAACTATGTCAGTGATTTTAAAAACTACATATTTAATTAAGTTTCTTTCTGTTGAAACCTAAAATATTGATCAAAAAGCCAATTGTACTGTAAAATAAACAGGCACAGCCTTCTCACTGAGATTGTAGTTTTTTTTTTTATTGTAGTATAGGACCTACAAACACTTGTTTTTTTCTTTTACCCATGACTCCCCGTGTAAGGCTTTGTGACCCCCCTGGGAGTCGCGACCCACAGGTTGAAAAACACTGACCTAGACTAGACAAAGGGAGTTCAGATTCTATTCTGGGCCAGTCTGTTCTTCCAGAATTTAATTTTATAACTAAAAAAGTTTCAAAGAAAAAGAAAAAAAAATGAACCAGACATTTCTAAATTCAATAAATACAGTCCAAAGCTGTATTTATTAAAATTTCTGGCAGCCAGTGGCATGACATATAGACAAAACTGAAGATCTACTTTCAGTATGACATGAAAAATATACTTTGTCATTGTCAGAAAGCCATGGTCCTCTACTCTCCTCTCTGTTAGCAGTCAGCAGTTAATGATGTCCTTTGTCTCAGACTGGACAGAGCAATCAATGCATCACATCTGAGTCAGCAAGCACCTCATGGACAAAGATATGTTTGAATTGGTGTTCTCTATCAGTATAACCCCAAAGTGGGATAACAGAAAGTTTCAAAATCTAGAAGTGGCTGAAAATACCTATAAATATGGAAAAAGAGAGAAAAGGTCTTTTGCTTGATATAAGCAACCATAGAAGAAGGGAATAAAGACTCTAAGGATTGTATAGTTTGGCTGAGAAATGAGAGGCTATATAGCCAAACAGAATGATTGTCATAGAAATAAAGTCAAAGATCCAGACTTTTGGTCTGGATCTTTGCCCAATATGACAATTGAAAAGATATCTTTTTCCAATTGTCATATTTCTACTTATTCTTTAAAAACTGGTCGACTTTTTAATTTCATACTTTAACCAAATTCAGTAAATCAATGGTAAATTGATTTATAGAATTTGACAAAACCAATAGAAACCATTTGTACTCCTTCCATAATCTGGGAAATGGAATATAATTTTAATTAAGGCATTGTTGCATAGAGAAGCACAGTAAAATTAACAAAAATATATAAAATAAATTTTCAATTTATACATGAAATTGAAAAATTAATTTTAACTTTACGTAAACATTAGTTTAATTATTATTTAATATTTAAAATAACGTAAGTTAATTACAAATATTAACAGTTTTATTGAAAATTAATTCTTAACATATATATCAATTAACAAACTTTCTCATAATGCTATTAGTAGAAGTATGTATGGCACTAGGTAGGGTGAGAATGGACATTAACCCATCATAAAATCTCATTGCCCACTTGTCCACCCATCTTGATTTAATTTATTCTATCTGTCTATATTGACCACTGTTAGGGATTTCTTTAAATACAAACTGATTGTTTGCCTTGTTCTTATTAAACTTTTTTCTGCTTATATGTCTTACAGAAAGTGAATTACTAAATTTTAAAAATTTGTATGACGATAAAATGTGCAGGTAACACCACCCACTAAGATAATGTTTTGCCCACCTTCACTCTCCTAGAATAAAAATTCTAGCACTGTTACTGAGTAGAAGAATAAGAATTCAAAAATACACTGTAAATCTATAGTTTAAGATATTGACATACCTTATCAGTCTCCATATTAACATATAAATGTCCTTGTATATCAAAAGGTTCAAACATAGTTTGCATAGTTAAACATTTATATTCCAATATTTCACATCCAATATTCATCAAAACCTAGTTTAAAAATAAACAAGAGCATTTAAAATATATTAAAAAACCATATAATATTAAATACTGATCTAATGACAGTAATTTTATTTTAAATAATATAAAATTATATTTTATGGTAATAAAGTGGTACTATAGAAAAATAAATTAATTTTTAAATATCAACAGAAAAATTTTGTACTTACATCGACTTTAAGTTGCTGATACCATTTTTTATAATTTAAAGATAAACCATCAACAGATATTAAGAGAAATTCTTGATCTAAGGGTGCTTGACCATCAAAACTAAATGGATGTAAGTTGAGAGATGGAGCTAAATAATTAAATATTAAAATTATAATAAAATTTAAAACCTAATTATCATATTTTATTTGAAATAATTTATTATATTACCTATTTTTTTGAAATGATTGTAAATAGAAATCTGAATTAAATCAAAATTCATGCTAGCTGATAAAACTGGAATAAGAGCAGGATCGAAACAAGAATCAACTCTAAGACAAGCGGCCAAGACAAGAGGTGATAATGCTCCAGACGACAGAATTTCAATTTTAGTACTAAGAACAGATAGTTTTATTATTTTAGAAATAAAAAAATCTCCTATAAAGTACAGAATAAGATTTTTAATAATATATTATTTACTCTTCTTCTGTATTAAATAAAACAATTCTCCATATTTCTGAAACAATGGCGATGTGACTGGAATCAGAACATATCACAGGTAAATCCAAATTATATTGAGATGTTTCAGATAACTGAAAATTGCAATAATTTATAAAGCAATTCTGTAATTTATCCCAATACTGAAGAGAACATTCAACTTTCTGAAATAGAAGATAAAAATCTTAGTTTTGTTTCAATTTAAAAACTTTTATGAGCATAACATTGTATACTTCAATTGATTCTTCAATTTCTGAATTATTTGAAGATGGATGTAATGGGACCGGATACACAGTAACAGATGTTAAAGTTCGTGGTTCTGGATAGCACCAAGTCATCGTACTTTGTTCCCCAGATTGTTCCTTACAAAAAACAATCTCTTGAGGCTGAGGATCAAGACCAATTCCTTCTAAAAGACATATATCACTATTGAAATCAATTGTCATTAAATACTAGTAGTTTATATATATATACATGGAAATATTAAACATATAATCAAAATTACAAATTACCAGTATCCTGTATATACTGAAATGAGCCTTTCCGCAAATCATCATTCCACTCTATTCTAGTCAGTTCTGTTGATTTATTTTTGTTTGTTGATTCTTGTGAATCATTTTCAGTATTATTCTAAATAGAAATAAAGATGAATTAGTAAATAAATTTAATATTTATCATTGCATGTATAGCATCATAACAGTATACTGGTAGCTGGAAGTAACACAAGGCATAAAAACTTGCCAACAAAAGATACAGTACAATAATTGTTTACAGAAAAAGTAACTTCATGCAGGACATTTTATAGTTATAAACTTAATTAATTGTTGCAATTATCTGAAATATCATTTTTGGCACAAATCATTAACCTATGTCCATATCTATATAGAGTTGCAAACAACATTTTGTTACCATTTCATAAGTTAGTTTAGATCATGCAAAAGATCCTGCAACAAGACATCTGACTTGGATCATAAAACTGTTCACTACTGATCCACAGCTTCTTGTTTTTTGACAAACCATAAAAAGGAAAATGCAGTTTGAAGCACATCTTGGAATAATACATATGTCGACCTACTTTAAGCAGCTGCGGGCAACTCCATGTTCACTAGACAAAGTGATTCATTCAAATGATATGCAAAATAACATGTCACCATGTGTGGCACAAAACAACATAAGTCTTTGACTGCAGGGTTGGAGCCTCTTTGGCACCTTGTCAGGATGACACCACTATGTCTTTACGGACAGACACAGAAACCAGATTGGCCATTTATTTCATTGCACAAGTGATTGCATTTGTGGGCTTTCGGACCCAAACGGAGGCAGAAAGAAATGACCAGAAAAAGTACACACCACAAGTTATCATTTAACAAAAATACCCATTTATCGATAGATAGTATTTACAAATTCTACAAGATACTGATTACAAGTTCCTACAATACTAATCCAGATGCTTAGCCCAAAGGCCAAAAGTAAGTTAGATGCTTAGCACAATTGCTAAAAGGAAGGATATATATAGAAATATACCCAACACGATCCTGATCAAGAGAGAGAGAGCTCACAGTAAGTTTGCGAGATGGTAAATACCTTAATCACTTGTTGGTCCTAGGAAGTGATAATCCTAGATTCAGTGAATCGATGATTGGTTTGATGAAGGCTCAGTGACTCTGGAAGAAGGAAAGTCTTTTTCTCTTGCGAGGGCAGCGAATGGCAACGACTGAAATCGGCGAACACACACACACTTAAGAAAAAGGGTTGATGATGACTGCCTCAGCATGTTGTCACCCCTCCCTTTTATTTGGGGGCTTCTCCTGGGTTTTTCGCATGACTTTCTTAGGGGGTTTAGTACATCAAGGCCAATAGCCACATTTTCACTCATTGATTCCAGGTGACACATTCAATGTATCATCTTCAACAAGGAAATAAGTCCACGTAAAAATAGTTTAATTTTCTTTGACAATTTTAGCAAAACAACTTTAATGAAAAACTAAACTAAACAAAAATTTTTTTCACCAAACTTGGCTCTCACAAGTCAAAACGATTATATTTCGTTTACAAAAAATGATATGGTTTGTAATGATCTAGCAAAACATCATTGTAATAAGACACCAACCGAATGCCGTAAATTAATCGGGCTATTTTTAATTAGTGCCAAATTAATTACGTAATTTATTTAGAATTTAGCATTAAAAATAGCCCGATTAATTTACGGCATTCGGTTGGTGTCTTATTATATTGGATATCGGGTTTGGAGATGTTTATTTATAAAACATCATTGGCAATGTTGTTACAAAAATGCAAACATAACTTTAGGATTTTATGAAAATGCATTTTAATAATGGTTTTCAGCAATACTTTTGGCCACCAATATATTTAAATAAATGATTTTTAAAGAAAAATATCACCTACCTAAATATATTAATTAATAATCCACAGTCAGTAAAATAGCCAAGTATAATATTTGATAAAAATATTTAATCTGAATTATTTTAATAACTAAAATATTAATTAAATCATTAATTCATTAAAGATAATAATTCAAGTATATCTGATACACAGATCTACCAGATAAACAATTTGGAAGGTTGTTTGATAATAACCATACTGTATTTCCACACAAGAAAGCACATGCTCTTATATATGATAATTGCTTGTTTTTGCATTTTTGAAACATACACTCTGCTTTGCTTATAAGAGCATGCTCTTATATATGCAGAAATATAGTATAAATTTAATTTAATATTTTCTAACAAGCCTAACACTCTTACTACTGTATTGTCCTGAAATAAAAATTTAATGTTGGAATATTTTGTTAATGCAAGATATTAGTAAATATAACCAAACAAAAGGACACACTGCTTAACTTTCATAACATACTTTATATAATTGCATTAAAAAATTCTCTGCTTCAATAGATCATATTGCTTCAGATTTAAAATGCACTTTTTAATGTGCTTTCAAACCTAAATATGTAGATGTTACTGTGAATGAATGATATCTGGCGAATATCAACATTCTCCGGTGAATGTCAGCATTCACAAAGTCGTTTTGTGTATGTGTGAAATATTTGCTAAATATCATTATTTCTCACTTACACTGGCAAATGTCCACATTCAGCATGCACTGATGATGAATGTTGAAGAAAAATATTTTTATTACATTAAGACAAAAATGCAAGTTTTTAATATGTCAAAATAGGAGAAAGCTTAAGTAACAGCACATGTAAATAAACTGTTGAACCTAAAACAAACAGTACATTCTAAATCATTAAAGAAAATAATACAATAATAAACTTACACATTATTAATTATGTGATTAACGTTATACAATCTTATTTATTGCAACAACTTACTGTTATGGCATTTTAAATTGCACAATAGTCCCTTGATTTTACAACTGCATTTATTTGTGGAACACTTCTTTTTGCAATGACAGCGTGTATAGCTTTGCTCTCCACCTTTCGAATTAGCTGCAGCTGCTTCTCTCAGTGATATTTCTCGAGAAGAAATCTCATATATGGAAAGTAACTTTTCTTTATGAATTATGAGCTGATTATGGGTATAAAGCTGCTTGAGGGTACCATTTTTGTTTGCTAATTTATAAAAGTCGGAGTCTTCTTCTATTCCAACAACTGCCAACATATTTCGGGCATCTGTACAGCCACGGTCGACATCAGGGACTTGTATTCGTTTGGTATCATCAATTTGAGCAGAAGGAAATTTTCTTTTTGAGGTTCGTAACATTTTCGTTGCTTGCAGTAGAAGATTCTCTTTCATGGCCGCTCTTTTTATAGAAACTTTGTGTTGTTCAGTCAGGGCTTGATATGAAGACGTAATGGATTACAGCTCCTCTTCAATATTTTCCTTTGGAATATGGTATTCATTATGGCCACTGCTCAAATTTTCTTCAAAAGTATTAACAATTTCTTTGAGCTGTTCTTCGGTTTCAATATTTGCAATTTGTTTGTCAGGCAAAGATGACGATGCTATGCCTCTTTTTGGTTTAATGACAAACATGGCTTCATAAGGACTTTGGCATATTGCTTTGTGATATGTAGTGTTCTTGGTAAATTGTACAAAGGGCAAACCATCTGACCATTTATTTGTGTCGTTATTGTTCATCCATACAGTTAACATATTCTGTATATCCCGATTGGCCCTTTCAACTGAGCCTTGTGTTTCACTATGACGAGGCTTTCCATAAACTATCTTAACATCTTTCCACATAGCACACAGTTCAGATATGACAGAATTCTCTAGCGTTATCTGAATAAAATATAGCTGGGGCACCAAATGTTAAAAATATTTGAAGAAGGTAATATGCTACTTCTTCAGCTGTCTTAGTTTTCAAAGACAAATTTCGTTAAATGATCTTGATATACCATTATGAACTTATATTAACCATCCTTGTGTGACTGCAGGTCTATCAGATCGACTTGACATCTTGAGTTTAACTCTGAACTGACCATTGATTTCACAACAATACCTATTTTAGGTGCACTATGTTTCATTTGACATTATTTACATAAATTTAAATACAATACTACAACTTCATATGTAATATTTTTTAAAATAAACAAACACCTTTCTCTATTCCAGCACAATGTTTAATGCGTTAAAAACGTTTTTGACCGTTTTAAGCGATCTTCTTCAGTTCATATTCGAACCATATAACGAACAAAGTATTCGAAAAAATACAAAAATTCAAAGCGCTTATTCACAACTTAACTCTAAAGTGCATGCCTGTACTCATAAAATGTATAGATTAAACCAAAATAATTAAAAATAAACCAAAAAAATTATATATCAAGTAATATAAAAACAATTAATAACGCCGCCTATGTGGTTGCAATAGTTAATCTATGTTATCATAAAAGGACTTCCAGGCTGTTGATAAACCTTCAGCATCCCTGTGATTGATGCACTGCGCGGTCATATGCGCCTTGTGTATCTCAACTTTTTCCAGGTGTTTCACCGCTTGCGTTGATCTTGTAGGTCTAATAATCGCTGCCTGATCCCAGTATACTGCAATTCCTCGCTGCTTCGCAAATGCTGTGAGGACTGTGCTATCAACACTTCTATTCACGAGTATTTGTGCTCATCAATCCTTTTCTTCAGGTTCCGCATTGTTGCTCCTATATATATATTAGGTCAGAGTTAAATCTATGGTCTTTCATAGGTATCGAGTAGACTCCTGTCATGCTATTACGCTCATATCTTCTCTTATCGTTTCTTAGAAGCTTATACACTGTAGGATTACGCCTATAAATTATTTTTATATTCCTATTTCTGGCAACTTTCTTAATAATTTTATTTAGAGATGGATGGTAATTAACTACAGTTCTTTCCCTTTGTTCAGTTGTTCTTTGTTGCCGGTTCTGTTTCTGCATCTTTGTTATAAGTGCATCGATTGTCTTTCTTCCGTATCCTCGTTGCTCAGCTTTGCTCCGTATATATTCCAATTCTTCATAAGTATCATATATGCTGGTACAATGTGTGTAAGACCTTATAATCCATGATCGAAATGCTGCCAATTTGATGTGTTCAGAATCTGAGGAATTCTTAGGTATGATAATTGGTTGATAAACTGGCTTACGGTATATATTCGTTCTGATCTCACCCTCTTTGTATGTT